GAAGTAAGGTACTTAAATTATTTGTTTCTTTTGTTTAAGACACTAATGCCTCTTTATTTCATGACGTTTGAGTAATGTATTCATGGTTATCATTTCTTGGAATTGATATGTGCATGATATGTAATTCTATGCACACAAAGCCACACATATAATATGTACTTTGCATATATATTGTCTAAATAGTGGTCATCCCGCTATCCGCTGCTATACCGCTATAGCGTTTTTGGGGTTGGCCGCTCCGCTCCGCTCCGCTATCCAGGATTAACAACAATATATTAAACATTAAAAAAAGAAAAAGGTAAAAGATTAAGAAGTCTTTACTTTGACCGGAGAATAATGGATAGGAATCTCAGTATGGACAGAGGTTGTATCTATTTGTTACCTTTAGACTAGAAATAACTACGTAGTATATGATTAGTTAGAGCTTGTATTTCTATATTTTTTTATCTTCACTTTATTTTCCCGCCTTCTTGATGTAGAAGTTGTTTAAAGAATTAATATCACTCATCCCTTTCCTCCGAATCCTCGAACTAAACAGACCCTTCATTGACACTAAAGAGGTGTTTTGAATCCCTTTTAAAAAGGAACTGTTAATTAATAACCGAAATATTTAATATGTAATACTCTGTATTTATATACTCCGTAGCTTTTAGTTTCAAGGATACTAAGATTATACCCCGTAATTGACTAATTGAGTACTGTTGTAACCAAACAGTGATAAAGTCAACATGTGTAAATCAATTGTTTGGCCTTCATAAAACTGAATCCGCAAAATAGAAAGAATAAAACTGTCAGAAACTAATATATGGACGAAAACCTTAAATTATAACTTAAATTAATTTGTAAATGTAAAAGAAACTATTACTACTCTAAACTGCTATGATATTTTGGTCCTTAGTTCCATAAAGAATTTTATAATATCTTTAAAATGTACTCGGATGATTTAATTTCCGTTGAAGAAATTTGTACGATATAGACCATTTTAAAGTTCAGAAGAGAGTCTATACTGTAATGACTAATGAGAAGTTGAGAACTAACATCTGACATTTAAACTTTTTAGGGACACAGACCTCTATTCTATGGATAATATAGGAACGGAAAGTGATGAAACTAAAAAATAATGTGGTATCAAATCTCATAATTAATTGACAAAAAGTGTCATTTTCCCTAAATTTCTTGTTTATTGTAATCGCGATTTTTTAAATTATAATCCATGATGCTTTGTTCTAAAAAGGGCATCAACGCATGCTATGAACGGTGTAAGAGTTGTCTAAACGGATGTGATAAATGTTATGACAAGCAACTGTATAGTTGGTACGGAGCTGCACATAGACAGATTCAGAGGTCTCAGTATTATGTACAATATAGTCGCTCTGTTCGTGTGGGGTTCACCATCATTCTCCTCTGCTTGATAGGTGAGTCGGTTTATTCGAGCTTTGTACATCTATCAATTTAAACTCAACTATTGTTCTTAAAGTAGAACTTTAATATAGAGTGGCATGTTTAGTATTTAGTAATGAGGAGTTTGAATTCATTTCGTTGATGGTAAATTGTTGCTTGAAATTTTTGTCCTTTTACAAGTGGAAAAAGTGTTTTTGCCTATACACTAAGCTCTCTTTTTAACTCTAAATGGATCATTATAAAAGTTGGGATGAACTTGACCAAGTTTCGTTTGGCATTTTAAATCATTATTTGTAGTGAATCATTTTAAAGCATTCTAAATGGATCATTGTGTGTTTGAGTTTGTTATGTCTGTTTGGTAATTGTTTTATTTCATCAATTTGGTATACAGTTTTTTTGGCATTGCATATGTGAGGAGTGGGAAGTCTAATCTCAGGAATTGGAAAAGGAATCTGCTGGGAATTAGAATGTGTGCAAAGTATGTGGCAGCAATGCTCCATACAAAGTTGCGGTTAGAGAATCGCTTTAACTGCGTCTGATTTATATATTTTCACGGGTTTCGTTCCCCATAGTTGTTGTTTGTACTATAATGAATACACATTATGAAGGAATCAGTGTTGTAGTCAGTGAAATCTTGTAAATAGATCAATATTGCATTTGCATGTCCCTTGTCATTTTCATGAGCTGATTTTGCCCATTACACTCGAATTTCATTTAGAAGTCTAAACTAGATGTCATGTATTTTTTAAAAGGGCAAGTCTCTGTATACGTTTGTTTGGTAATGAAAAGTTATTAACTTATCTATTACCCAATGAATGCATGCCAATTGTATAAAGATGTTCCGAATTACCAAACAATTGTATCTAGACTTGTTCTTTTTAGAAGTAGATTTCAGTAGGTTCTGTGCGTTTTTATATGTATTGCATTTGAATACTGCTAAGCAGACATTTCATATGGATATTATGAAAAGACATTCTCTGTTCTTATGTGGTACAGGGTGTTAAGAACTTGAAAATGTGATCAAGCAATTAATATCTGTCACATAAAATGCCCATGTCCAATGTCTCTTTACTCAACTACTCAAGTGTACATTTCCAGGTTGCTATGTTGACATTTCATAAGGATATTATATAATCATTCATATAAAGTTCTAGGCATTTATATACTCCTTATATATTCACATAAAAAAATATAATTTATGAAAATTTTCAGTCTTTTTGCAGTTCTAGGACTTCTAGCCATTTATATACTCCGCATTCCTTGACTAAGGATAAAATAGAATTGGAGAGTATTAGAGTAATTTTGATTGATGTTAAAGCATACATAAGGCTAGAACTACAAAAAGGTAAAAAAAAAAAAAAAACTATGAAAAAGACATAAATTTTGTATATATTTTTTAGACATAAATTTTATATACTGTTCAGATGTCTTTAATTTTTTAAACTTTATATGAATGATAATATAATCAGATGTCAGTTTTGTAATTTTGTTCAATCCAATTAAATGTAATTGTGGAATACTTAATTTAAAAGTGATATACGGTGTAGGGATGGCCTCGGTTCGGGCCGCCCGGCCCGCTACTGTGCGGGACCAGCCTGGCCCGGTTTTCCGGGTCCGGGTCCGGTTTGGGCCTAGGCCCGGGGGCTTGGGCGGTTCCGGGCTCGGTTACAGTTTTTGGCGAACCGGCCCGGCCGGGTCGGGTCCGGGCCAAAAACTGTTTTTTTTTTTGTTTTTTTCATTTTTTTGGGCTTTATTGAGTTGGGCTTAATGTTTAGGACCAGTTTGGGGGGTTTGGGGGGTGAGGGGGGGGGGGGGGGGGGGGAGAAGGGAAAAAAAACTAACCGGGTGGCCCGGTCCGGCCCGGAACCGTTGGCCACCGGTTCGGGCTTGGGCCCAACAAAACAGACCCGAGGCCCGGCCGGGCCCAGGCCCGAACCGGGCCCGAACCGGCCCGAGGCCATCCCTAATATGGTGCAGAAATTGCTCCAAATAAGAGTACAAACGTTTGTACATTCTAAAATAGGATTGTCAAATTTTTATTCACTAAATACGACACGATTATTTAGTAATTCAATAAGGTAATTCTATTACATCTTGAAAACTAGTTTTGATGGATATATAATATAATTAGATAGATGATGATAATGGTGATGTTATAAATATTTTATTTTTAATATTTAAATGATAAAATTGTCAATTAGGATTATTAATTGTTTCCTAAAGTAGAAATGAGAATCTTTATATGGAATTATGGATCGTCCAAAACAAAGTGAGAACCTTATAATGATAATGAGAGAATAATTATTTTCCAAATTGTGTAAGTGTGTAGTAATTACTTCTATTTATAGATTGAAAATATAGAACCTGATGAGGAGCAAAAGGAGGAATCCGCCTGAGGAGTGGTTTTGCTAGTCATATGTGTTGAACCAATTTTGGTATCAAAGCATTGCTCATTTCTTAAAATATCCTATATACGTGGGTGGAAACGGAGAAGAGGCCAAATTTCGCCGGATGACTTGGGAATGTAAGCATAAAAAGGAATTTTTGGAACAGGGAAATTAAAACTATTATGTAGGCTTTTATTCACCGAGGGTTCGAATCCCAACTCCTATTTCAATTTTTTTTTCTCATATAGTACTATCATATATCAGCATCATTATTATATAAACTTTTTAAGATTATATAATGTCGGTTTTCAAAAAAAAAAGTTTATATAATGTACACCATACTGAATAAGAGACATTTCCAAATGGTCCCCAAAGGTGTTTCATGGAATACTTAATTTAAACTTCGCGTGATATAGACTAACATATACTTCGTACTTGATAATTTCCAATAGTAGTACCTTACCAACTTCTTTTTCATACACTCAAGAGATGTACTCCCTCCGTCCCCCTAAGTTTGGGACGGAGGGGTGTGGTGTGGTTTTTAAGAAAAAGTGAAATTGTGTGGTTGTTATTGAATTGATAAAGTGTAAATAAAGTAAGAATGAATTCTAACCACTCAAATGTTACCAAATATGGTATGGGACAAACTTAGTGGGACGGACGAAAAAGGTAAAACGGGACAAACTTAAGGGGACGGAGGGAGTAAATCCTAATTCAAAAATAATAATTTCACAAACAAGGTATTTTTTATATTTTCAAGGTTTAAATATGCTTTTAATCCCTGCAAATATAGCACACTTTGTTTTAGGTCCCTGGAATACATTTTCTTTGTTTTTCATCCCTCAAATTTATGTTGATTTTCTTTTTAGTGCATGACTAATGACACAACCTCCGCTTGACAGATATTCTTTAATTCTTTGTCATGTCATTCAAAAAGTGTTTAATTTCTTTTTTGAGGGTTTTTAATACATATTTTCAAAATGCAAATAATTAGTTTTAATATTGTTTTAACACTCTTATTAGCCTTAGAAAATTATAAACTAATAAATTTAAAAGTTTCTAATAGATATATGTAACCAACAATAGAAAAAATTCCAAGGTTTGTGGTTTCGGAGTTAGAGATGGACTAAAACCAAAATAGCACATATTACAGGGATGAAAAACAAAGAAAATATTTTGCAGGGACCTAAAACAAAATGTGTCATATTTGCAGGGACTAAAAGCATATTTAAACCTTTTCAACATAGATGTATATTTGGTAATTTCCGCTACTGAGAGAGGGGTAAGTGAATCACATGAACCATAGATTTACATTTGGAAGTTGTTTAGCCGATTCAAATGGAAAATTACTCACAAAAAGGCTAGATTATGCGTGTTGACTGTTGACAACACAATGCTTTCTAACTAATGGTACACCAACTTATAGGCACATTTAAACAAGCTTTTGCAAGTTTGCAACATCATAGCTTTGGATTGCACTGATAAAAACTCAAAAGTGGCTCTAGGAATGTTTTCTGAGAATCATCAGCTAGTCGAGGGTTTTTATTTTTTTCGATCTTTTGATTCGCTAGCTTTGCTGCTACGGAGTGGTTCGCTACCATCAAATGTAACCCTGGAATTCCTATACTGACTGCCAAAGCCACTGCCAAAGCCCCATCCAAGCCCCATTCCAATGCCACACCCACCACCTTTATTACAACATTTGAAAGTTGGGAGAATGTATTAGTGACTAATTTCTCATCAATAGTAATTTGAGTTCAGTACGTATAAACATTGTTTTTTTACCTGCACCAAGACCTAAGAAATTCATCGGCATCCCTGAAAGAAGAAAAATTGAAATAAACCTGCTGTTTTGGGGAATTTTAGCACTTATTTAAACATCACAATGAAAGGAAAGTATAGGCAATTTTTTGTTCACACACACGAAGACAAAATAGAAAGTTAGAAACAGATGCGTTTGAGAACAAAATATATGTTGTTCGTGCTGGTGTATACCATGGTGAGCTTAAAGAATATTCCCAATATCAAAATATCAATATTAAGTATTAACAGATTTGATTCATCAATTTCCATAGGGACAATCTATCTAGTGCTCCATTGTTGAAAGCAGCCACAGGAAAAATCAGCAGAAAGATAAAAAAGAAATTAGTCAAAACAGAGAAGCACTTAAATGTTTGCGCTCAAAGAATTCAAGGTTATAGGAAAGGTTTTGGTATAGACTATAGACCACAATATTTAATTGTTAGGTTTTGACAGCTGTATGTTTACACATTCACTACAATGTAAGAGACCGATTGGTAATGTTGAAATTGACTTAATCGGGCAATCGGCTGTATTTGCTTAAATGGATGAAATTTGTGGAAGTGGCTGTATCTGCTTAAAGAAAAAAAATTATAAAAATAGCTAAAGTTACTATTAATCTATTATTATACTCACTTAAGTATAAAAGCTCACATTTTAAAAAAAATGTGACTTCTTAAAGGTAAAAATGTTTTTTTTTATATGTGGTTGTATACAGAAATGTAATCAAATTACCAGTCTAAGCTTTTAGTTAATCATAAAGACATTCAAGTATTCAACAAAGGAAATATCTTAACCTTCACTCCATTGAATATGTGTAAAATACAATCATGGATTGACCCCCTTCATAAAAAAAAACTTAACAGTCTTTAGTTAGTGAGCCTTGTTTTTAACAGCTCTATTGTTTACCATGATGTGATAATCCATTAGAGTAATTCTTACCAGTTACCAGTGTTCTTCGTTAAATTTTCTGGCATTTCTGAACTAAATTTAGAACACTGAACACATAATCTGTTATTATGACTTATAGTCAAATTCTTGCGCATGGGATTAGGGGAAATTTCACAGGAAATACTTCCAAATTTGAATCAAAATCACCTACGTTTTGTGAAATAATAATGTCTTATTAACTTACTGCAATCTCGGAATACAAGTTATGATGAAACCTTCATAAAAAACAACTGTGCAGTGAAATCGTACATACCACCGAAACCCCACCCTACGCCGAAGCCGCAGCCAATACCAAAGCCTGAAGATGTAAATATAAATATATATAGTTGAAAATATTAGCGAAATACTTGAATGGACTACTTAACCTAAAATAATGGAGTGAAGACGGATCGGAGAAAATAAAAGAGCATACCGAATCCGATTCCGGCTCCGCTGAAGTTTGTGAGCACCATTTCGTTTGCCCCTCCGGCAAAAAAAGCAGATGATTGACTAATGTTTATGATCTGATACTGTGACAATAAGCAGATGGGCTGGGCTCTACAACATGACTCTTCTAAGCTTCTTAGATACTGTGAATATTTATGATCTGATAGTTTTAAAATTTAATTTGATATAAAAAAATTCCAATTTGATCTAATCTAATTTGACTTTTGATATTATGATATGATTTGAAATATTTTAATTTGATCAGAATTTTTTTATGTGTTCTGATCTAAAGCGGTCTTAATAACTATCAGAGATTATAAATGTGTTCAAATTTTATATCGTAGAAAGTAGAAACTACATGTAAGTCACACTTTTATCTTTGACTTTTTATTAGTAATATTTAAATAAAAACCTTGTAATAACAATAGTAATAATAATAAAAATAAATATTAAATAGCCATCATAGTAATGTTAATAGTGTTAATAATGATTGATGGATTAATAGGAACCCAAACATATAATTAAAGAAGAGATTGAGCAAGAGAGGTGAGGAAGAAGATGAATAGTATTGAACCGGTATAAGTTATGGATTTGGAATTATGACTTAGGGTTACAAGAGGCTCTAAGAGGAGTATAAATAGAGAAATAACAGGCCGAGCCGCTAAACATGTGTGGGCCGCTAAGATTAGTCCCAGTAGGCCCAACTACATAAAAGACTAATCTAATACATACAAATGATATATGAACTGTACAATAACACAAATGACGTCCGCTAAGCATGTGTGGGCCGCTGTCCAGGCCCAATAATCGTGAGACCCGGGGGTCCGAGTCTATATACTCTATCAGGAGTCCCCCACTTCCTGAGTCGAGAGTACTCGAGGCGAAAGGGAGTAGAACTGTGTGCTGATCTGTCGTCGTCTGGTGAGTAAACTTCGAGATTTTTTTTGAATTTGTGCTTCTTCAATTAATGGAGGCGCAAAGTACCCCGCTCTTCCAGTCCCCCACTCCTTGAGGTGAATGTAGTGAGGTGAAGAGGAGTAGAATAGTGCATTTCTCGTGAATGTAGTGAGGCAAGGGTCAACACCTTTTGTCCACGTTAGGGAGATGCCTCGTTAAAAACCACACTAGGAAAAATCCTGTGGGAAAAATCACAACAAAGGAAAAAGAGTACACCGAATGCCCCCAAATGAAGCAAAAGGGTAAGCCCTTCGGCCTAGGCGCAGATCTGCAACGGCCGCCATCTGATGAGGGGATGGCCGAGACCGGTCTTCACACATGAGTAGCTCGGCATGATAAATAGTTTAGTCATCAAATAAAGATGTGTATGAGATAGGTTGATCGACCGTCCATAATATGATGTCCAACTCATAAAATAAAGATGACCGGGGTATTTGCCCGAGAGGCCTATATGAAGTCCAAGTCATCAAATAAAGATGGCCAAGAGAGACGGCTAAGGGGTCGATATGATGCCATCATTTAGTTGCACCTATCTATTCAAATAAATTGTTACAATTTATTGAGCTTATAATTCGCTATTGGATTTGGGCCTACATAAGTGACCGCAAATTTTCAAGTTAGAGCTCAAACTGGATTTCTATGCCTACTTGGAGCGTGGCATGAGCTCTAGAGTATGACTCATAGTTTTAGGGCGCACACATAACTCGTACAGAACATAGAAACTAGAGTGTGTATTAGATAACATTTGGATTTGGAGCTTATTATCGCCACACCCGTTTGACGTGACCCGATGGCGCAAGTGTGTGTGCTCGCCCGGTGTATGCGAGTGCTCGGAATTCATTTATCCGTTTTTTGAATGTCAAAAAATATACAATACTTAAAAAATAATGATAATAAATTAATAATCTAGCTTAACTTGCCACTCAAATTCATAGTTTCAATCCGCCATATGCTATTTATGAGTCTTTGGGAAAAGGGTCAGATAGGCCATATATAGGAGGCTCTGTCTGACCGTCGCCATTTGGGGCGATTCCCGGTGGAATTGTTTTATGAATTTTTTTGAACGTCTTGTCTTATTCATTAAGTCTAGTTTACTCATACCAAATTTCAGCTAAAACTTCAATCGGGAAGGCATTCAAATGAATTCTTGAAGATAACTGCGCAGTTAATTTCGCTCACTTTAAACCTCAGGTATGACCCTAATCTTCTAATTTTCTAATTATTTCATTAAACTGCAGGTGGTTGGTGAACAAATAGACTTTGATTTTAAAGCTGGCCATAAATAACATAGGAAAGTTTTTCAGAAACTAACTTAAATATCATTCATCATAATAATAACTACCTCAAAACGTTGAATGTAAAATAATAATAAAATTCAGACCATAATAATATAATATTGAATATCATAAAATAATGTATTTTACATTCATTAATGTCATACTTCCAAACAATATGACATTCCAAAAGAAATATCAACCTTTTCTTTTTGAGATTTTCCGTTACACCTTGCTATTGAATGTTGCTTGTGCTGCACACGGTCTATCAAACCTGCAAGAAAACACACAAAATATACAAATACAAATATAAACAAACCAAAAAAGAACTGCAATGAGAACTAATTAAATGGATTGGGCTCACCGGCCGATTAGTAGTTGTAATTGATAAGTTGATAACCCGTGGATGTAAATGTATATCTTCCCTGCAGTTTGGAGAATGCTTTCCTCAAATGAACAGAAATATGGAGATGAATAATCTGCATCTGTTTTAAAAGAGTTGTACCACGGACATGAAATAAATCTCTCTGAAATATGAATCATCTTGTATACCCGCTACACCCCTCTCTCTCAATGCAATTTTTTGTTTTGTTTTGTATTGTGGCTGTATTTATACTTCAATCGTTAAAGGGCTATTACTATGTATGATAAAAAGTATTCGTTCCGCACAATGGTTAAAAGTATGTGGTGTCCTACTTTTGATGACATGAAATTTGATTAGACAGTACAATGCAGAGCGTAGACCACCATAAACAAAAATTTTTATTTTAATAATATCCCACTATAAATATTCGTTCCACAGAATCCTCCAAAAATGATTTACCTACGTAACATACCAACGACATATCGTATTTAAATTAACTCATTTGGTAGGCAATTGTGTGTACACGCCATCTTTTTCAAATTTGAAAGGGACAGACCCATCAGTTGTTTAGAGCATTAAGTATTGTCCAGTCAGAAAGTTGACCTTATCTCTTGTACCCGACCCGACCCATATTATTGTGGTAGTTTGGGTGGGAGAAAATGCCTGATTTCCACCTCTTTTATATAAAGGTAGATAATGAGTTAAACTCCTTTGTATCATAGCTAAACATACATTTAACACCTTGAGAGAATAAATTTAACTACCAAATTTGATAAACGTGTTTGCTATTTTGTATAATTTAGAAATCTTAACAAATTTATATTCATACTTAATCATAACTCTGAAACACATTATTTTAAACTATTATAGGCATGACTAGTTATAAGTTGTAAGAAATGAGAGTTTACCACATTTTTAAATCATGAGTGTGCATAATTTACGTATTACAACAGGATTTGGTGCACACTTCCAAATTGAAAGCCATCACCTTTATCTATGGGTCAAAATAAATTCAAATGTGTCTATCATTGTGGAAGGTGGAAACGAGGGAGAATGCAAAAAAACAAAGTATGTAAATAAAATGTTTTAAGATTCCCCTTTTCAATTCATGTGCAAAAAGATACATGATTAATTGTCTTTATATGATGAGTTGACTATTATTTTGTCAAATTAAGCATATCCTAGTTTACTTGTTTTATGTAGAAAGTTTCAATTCATGATTTGAAATATAACTAACAATTAAGTTTGATCCGACACATTTTTTTATTCCAAACTATTATTCGCCAAACAGATTTGACTCGTATATCTGTTTTCAAAGACATGTAACATGCATACTCCGTATTTCTTTTTATGTTCGTTCAACTGCTGATCAAACAACCATTAGCAAACAAATGGCAGAAATGATATGAGTGGATTCAAAATCATCTTGGCCATTCATTCCTATACTAAACTGCCAAACAGACGAATAAGAGAAAGGTAGTCCATCAGTCCATTTCCAATGTCACAAACGGATACTTGAATGGAATTTTTGGATGTTGTTTGATCTGAACTTGTTGAATATACTACGTATGTCGGTTTTGTGCGCAAATTTATCATTAGTTAAGTCTTGTCTTGTTTAATTGGAATGATTTCAAATCCAAATCTACTTAAACAAGTCATCCCAGATTTTTTGATAGTTGTAAAATATACATTGAACAAATATCTACTAGACCAATTCAGATTAGACTATACTAAACCATACTTGAACAAATCATACACGACAAGAGCTGAAAATTTCCACTGAATTAAAAACATCCTAAATCATTCTCACTATCCACATTGTTACAAATACATAACTACTACGTATAAGACAAGTGAGAGTGGTCCAAGATGTCCATTTCCCACACTTAAAATCCTCCTACGAGGGGGGTTTGAGTTCAAGCCACAAGGTGAATTTGTGATGCTTTTGCCATGATCCTCTAGAGGAGTAGTTCGAGTGATCCTGTGCAAATAACACTTCGTCTCGCTTCAAGCGTGATTGCTTCATGCTTGAATTTGGTGATGTTTGATCATTTAGTGACGGTGTTAAGGTATGTTCAAAACCTAAAGACACACGTAACCATTCAGTAAAAAGGGGAAAAAGATGACCCATCCTTGAAGCCCCAACACCCGCGGACAGTTAATTGTGGCGGATAGTTAATTGTGAGGATATAGATTTGATTTTAATCACAGACTGTCAAATAACGAGTGAATCTCTCATTGTAAATTTGTAGTTGTCATGATTCCATTCCAAAACTTAGTCGTTGTGACATCCCTATAACCTGAAGAGTTAAAAAGGATTTCTTGTGCATGGCGTCAACAAAAAAGAAGTATTCCTACAATAAAGCCGATTGGGCTGTTCAACGGCATGCCAATCAAGAACATTAATGATTACGAGTGGCTGAGGAATGAGCAGGCGGGGTTGAGAAAAGTAGATGATTAATGATTAATGGAGAAAGGAACACATGATTTGTACAATGAATAGATATTCCGGCCATGAGCTAGCTAAGTGTGTGTCGTGCCACCCATCCATCAATAATAACTCATCATCCTTAACCCATTCCTTCCTTCTTTCTAATCCTTTTATTCCGCACGGCAGAACAGGGTTTGGCCTTAAACAATTGCGGAGTAGCCAATTACAATTGTCATACATGTCATCTTACATGGCCGCGAATTGTCAATATATTAACAATTATCCGGCATGTAACATGACAGGTAGAAATTGACGTGCACAAACAACATTTGTTAACAATTGTGAGAGAGTTTATATCCTTTTTTGATTAATCAGTCGATTTTTGTAGATAATTAACCTTGTATATACCTTTTTCTTTATTTAATTGCAAATACTTCCAGTTTGATAACACCAAAATAGGTTAAATCTGTTAAAATTAATGATAGTCGCGATCGGAATAATACTGAATGGAGCCTTTTTTTAAAAATGGAGTTTGTAGGATCAGAATAGGTCAATCATAGTTCTCTATATACCTTCATTTAAAAATAAAATGGAGCATTTTATTCCATTTTAAGTCAATTTTATCTATCTGAAAAGATTGTTTAAAGTTCTAATCTAAGACAAATAAGTGGAGACGGTCCAAACTCAAGATGCATCAACCCGTGTGAATAATGCACATGTGGCAGAAGATTTATAGACACAAAAGAATTAATCAATAGAATGTCTCTTTCTTTCCACGGCCTAATAGATTTCAATAACTCCCTCTTTCCCACTAACATTGGAACAAGAGGAAGTGACGCAAAACAATAAAAAGGTAGTTATGTGGTTGATATTGAATAGATAAAAGGGGTTTTGTCTTGAATATTACTAATAAAAGGGCAATAGGCAAAAAAGTGACTTTTTTTAAATATTCCTAAAATGTGACAAGTGATAAGCTTGCTTATATACACACTACTACAGTGACACGCTACAATGACACGAGACACGGTGACATTCACCCTCCTTGCCACCACCTCCCACCAGTGACCGCCGCCGCCGGAGACCATCGCCGGCCATAGTGACAACGACCATATTGACACGACAGTGACACCGTCACTGCCCAGTGACACCGATTTTCAGTGACGCCACCCGCCAAAAGTTACTTCGGCGGCAACCACCGGCCTGTCACTATGACCGTCGGAAAATTTTCCGACTCCTTATCCGGCGTCACACTGCCAACAACAACTACTACGGCAGTCCCGCTGTCTAGCCCAAGCAGCTAATCTCGCCGTTCACCATCCCGCCATCCCATCACAGTCCACCACAGCCCACCACCACCCCACAAATCCGGCAACGCAGCCACCCTTTTCCCTAAGCACCACCTCCCCAGCCCACCTGTTCTGCCCCCAACCCACTGTCCGGCCTAGGGGTGGGCAATTCGGTTTACGGTTCGGTTTTCTTCGGTTTCGGTTCGGTTTCGGTTTATTCGGGTTGAGAGAATTTGTACCAAACTAAAACCATTTGATTTTCGGTTTGGTTTCGGTTCGGTTCGGTTTGAAGTTCGGTTTACCAAAGTAAAAAATATTATATTTAATTTAGTTTGATTTGATTCGTTTGTTTATGATTATTATTTTATTTTATAGTGTTCTATATTTTAGAATTAGAAATTGAAAGTAGTAGTCCATCTCATCTTTTTTAATTTATTGATTATTTAAATAAAATGTAAAAGGAAATAAAAGATAGAAAAATAAATAATAAAATATTATAAATTAAAACTTCTAACATCTTTTTTATCACTACAAAAAATTCACTAAGCTTCTTACAAAAAATAAGATAGTTGATTAGCATTTATAATATCACATAAAATATTTTAAAAAAAAGAGTTGGTGGTACAAATGTTGTAATATTCATAATTTTATTCAAATGAATCATGTAAAAATATAAATGCAATTTTCTATTGTTATCGTTAAACATAATAAATACAAATATGTTGTATTAGCTAACTTTGTAATAATGAATTAATGAAATGTGTAAAAGTTAAAACGATACGAGTATATGCTTAAATATGTATTTTCATGTCTAAATTATTTATTTATATGTAAATAATTTTCATGTCTAATAAAAGTTAAAATATTATATATATATATATATATATATGATGTTCGTTGTTCGGTTTACAGTTTTTCCGTTTTAAACCAAACCAAACCAAACCAAAGTACCAAACCATTCGGTTTGAGCAAATGTTTACTAAATGGTTTACTTAAGTAAACCCAAACCAAACAAAATCAAACCACCAATTTTAATAATATATGAAAGTTATTTTTGAGTTTTTTAGTTTGGTTCGGTTTTGTTCGGTTTTTATCGGTTTCGGTTTGGTTCGGTTTGGTTTAATACGGTTTGGAAGAAATAGTACCAAACTCAAACCAAATTGCATACGGTTCGGTTTCGGTTCGATTTAGTTCGGTTTGGTACGATTCGGTTCGGTTAAACCAAACCGTTATGCCCACCCCTAGTCCGGCCAATCCACCACCACCTCCGGCCATCGCTGGCGACCACCAGTTATGACCACCAAACCCCAAACCCTCCCCTGCGTCACCCCAGCTCCCAACCAGCATCCCCCACCCCACAGTAGCCCCCACCCCTCACAGTAGCCCCCACCCCGACCAATACCTGTACAATCACCAATTGGCCTCCACCACTCGCACAACCCCCCAATCCCACAGCCCTGCACTTTCTTTCCTGACCTCCTACAACCCGTACTCTAACACATCTACAAGCACGCAATCAGATCTTAGGATTTCGGACAGAAGAAAGTCAGATTTGCAGAGTCCAAGGCCCATATCTGTGGATTCCGGGCAGAAGAAAGAGAAGAAGATGATATCGGAGCAGAGGCACGGCGGCGAGGCAGAGAAACGCGGCGAGGCGAGGCGAGGCGTGACGGAGAGGCGAGGTGCGGCGAGGTGGCGAGGTGCGGCGAGTTGAGTCAGGGTGGGCAGAAATCGATCGTGAAGGAAGAAGAGAGAAGGGCACAGAGTTAGGCGAATCGACGGGTTGGGGAAATGGGGAGGAGAAAGATCGGTCACTTTTTTGTCTAACTTAAAATTAGTTATCTTCTTGTAAACCTAAACTCTCTGCATCATATCCTTGCCATTCTTCCTTGATAAAATAAGAATAAAGTAAGAATGATTTAGATTCACACAAGTTTTACCAAATTTGGTATAAGACAATCTTAGTGGGACGGACCAAAATGGTAAAATGGGACAATCTTAGCAGGGCGGAGGGAGTACTTGTTATCCACAAAGTCAAGTACAATGTCTACATCTAGACGGTGTGCTTACCATTATCAACAAAGAACAATTGAATATTTATTACACATGGAAAGAATGTGAACAACTAAAAAACGAGCCCGAAACCGGTCTTATAGCCACCAGGCCGTGCCCCGGGCCTAAAGAGGACCGGACCGTGCCTAAAGAGGACCGGGCCAGGCCTAAAGAGGACCGGGCCAGGCCTAAAGAGGACCGGGCCGGGCCTAAATAGTGTCGGGACCAGGTCGGGCCGGCCCATCCCAGTCCATCCCTACACAGAAATCGGTGAGGTTTTCCTAATTAGCAACCCTCTAACCCTTTGAAAAGTATAGCACATTGCAGCATCTAGAATTTGCTGGGAATTTTGAAGTGCGAGTGACACAATTCCCAAGGTATAAATGTGAAAAACTGCACAATGCCAAAATGAAACATTTTTGGCAGAAATCAAGCAATTTTGCTTTTCAGTCACTGTGCAGCAAGTATAAGAAGATTGACACTGGACTGAAATTATTTGAAAGCAATCTAAGAAACACAGAACTAAAGCTAACAATAAGAGTTAGGCTTTGACCTCAAAAGTCAAGACAAAATATCAAAATACATTAAAAAGCCCGGTTGAGACTAAAGAGACTAAATGTATATACAGATTGATGAGGTAAAAACAAGACTAGTTTAATTTCGAGTTCAATCAGCTGACTCCTTCCTAGTTCAGTATATTACCTCCAGAATAAAACCAACCAGACATCAATAATTGACATCAAATCCTCATGCGCAGTAAGAGATTACTAGCATCATTGTCATTGCGCGATTCATCATCCACTGCAGCAACTTTTGCTCTATACCCGGTAGCCGCCATGTTGGTTTGTTGTACTCTCTGCCCTTGAGAATACTCACAAGCTTCACCCATGGAGGATCCACCAATCTTAAGCTCAGCAGGAGGAATGAAACACTCTTCTGACAGTCCAGGAACATTGAAAGCCACTTCCTCTATGGTCCACACTTCTTCCATTCTGGTTTTGGTGTGACTCATGGCAGTTTCGCCGAACCGGAACAGGGTTACAACTGACCGTCCCGAGTGAGCGATCATGATCCCCTCTACCGGCCTGTAATCATCTAGGAACGAGTTGATAGTTGTCTCCCAGTAAACAGCGTCCCCTCCATTTGTTTGGATTCGGGTCAGGTGGGAGTCTTCCAAGTGGACTAGAAGACCGGTTTTCTGGCTGAAATAACCAAACAGGACATGCCTAATGATTTCAGCCGGCCCTTCACTCCTCGCCTTCAAAGTGTGTGGATCGGCACAGAGTTTGAGGACAAAACAATCCTCTCCATTGATCTTCTTCTCTCCCGTGCACTTTGCATTGATAAACATGTTGGCTGTGGTTCTTGGGTCAAGTCCCTAATAAACATAGTGAAAATTTTCAGTGCTACTTTTCACTCAACTTTTCAGGGAAAATAGGCTGTTGATTGAAGGTTTAGGGTGTGTTTGGATTATGGAAAAGGAAAATACATTTTTTATAAATAGAATGAGTTTGAGCAAATGTATACAGTTATTGTGATTGATTCTATCTTTTATTTCCCATCAACTTCTTATCATTCTCTTTCCCTATATTTCCATATCTAGTTTCATTGCACATTATTTCTGAATTCGAAACGGACCGTCTGTGTTTTGAATGAGGAAAAAATGAGTTTGAACAAAGATAATAAATTGAACTATTCAGTTTGAACTACACTCTGTATTTATTACATTCTGAAATTATCCTCTATTTTCCTCCCCATTTTGTTTCCCTAGCACTTCCCGGTTTCCAAACGGACACGTAATAGTATAGGGTGTCTTGTTTAATAATATGTCACCTGAAGAGCACGACGCAAAGGTCTGATGGGACCTTTAGCAGCGTGAGCACCAAGCCAAGGTGTGTGCCGCCAAACAAGATTCCCATTACAGCCAGCGTGAACCTTGCTGGTTCCCAATGCAAGCTCCACGTACCACATGTCAGGGTTCATTTGCCACAGTACAAACCCGCCACTCTCCGCTGTTTTTGAAGAGTTTTTGCTCTTTATTACTTTGGTAGCTGTCTCTATATCAGATGCCATCATCTTAACCTTCCCCATTGCATATGCATTATGAATCACATTTTGTAGCTTCATCCCTCCGGATGCCGCTGTGTATTGCTGCAATATGTATTGAGCTGATGAAGTTTCCTACAGTTGAATCAAGGAAAGTAATATTAGCTTCAAGAACTTCATGAATGAAAAATGACTTTTGCTACGCATTGAAGATTGAAAAAAATGACAAATAAATAATAAAAATAATAACTTTTAATAAGTACTAACCATAATATTACTTTTGCTTAGTGATGACACATTTAATTTTACATTATTCTAACCATAACCGTACTTTTATAGCGACTTTAGTGACCATGTAGTCATATTTTTGTCCATAAGTTCTATTTGAGTAAATTGATAGGAAAACCCCAATGATAGATTGACAGCATACAAACAGTACTGTGGAGTATATATAGGTGGAGAAGGACTATTATGAAAAAATGAACATTTAATGCTTTCTGTATAAATTCAAAAGTGCCATTTAATTTGGGAAATATATTTGGGAATAATAAAGGGAGTAACTAGCAAGCAATGTTGTAAGGATAGAATCTTGGGAAGATTTCTGTGGATATTTAGAGACTTCATACATTTCTTATTTAATATTGAATATCCTTTCTAGTCACCAGAACATGGCATAATTCTATCCTCAAAAAGATCTGTCGGTAGGAAAAACAGGACGACCAAACTCAAGGACCACCAGTTCATTAAATTGGTTGCAAAATTAAATGACAAGAATTCCATCAACTAATCACAATTCTATCATCTTTTTCTACAACATTACTGCAGTTGCTTTAAATGAATGCCAGAACCACCCACGAACAATCTGGGGGGATATATAATAGCTTTCCATGAATCAAGTTATTCTTTTCGCTTCAATTCAATCTCACTATTATGTGGTATGATAAGCAAAGGCTCTAAGAGTGTAAAAAGAAAAAAATCCAAAACATCCCATCAGAACAATTCAAATCCAAAACCAAAAAGACAACAAAGTTTTAAGTAAGCTAAAGAGTTTGGAAAGAAAATCATTGGCAAACACATTTGCACAACTTCTTTCACTAGGGTAGAACTTCAAGTTGAAAATTTAGGGGTGGGATTTTAAGAGTTGCTAAAGAACACAGTTTAAATATGCAGCATTTAAAGTTCCAAAAAGATTTAATAATGAAAGAAGTTAAATTAAATATGGGAAATTATTAAATGAACAAAAAACTGACAGTAAAAAAAAGGTGGGAGGAAAGAAAAACAGTGACTAACAAGGGGAGTGTCTTTAACACTGAGGTGAGGCAAAGAATCGTTGTTGTTGACGTGCAGAGGGGCGAGGGGTGCCCCCAAGACGCCGAGCAGGAGCCGCAGATCGGACCTTTGCTGGAAACCCGACCCCGAAACGGAAACGGATGGAGCCCGGGACAGCTGACCCTTCATCCAGTGACCCCACTTCTCATTCTTGGAGTCAGTCCCCTCCGACCCGTTCGGATCCGGACCCTCCATCAACGGCGACAGCGTCTCGTTGCCGCCGGGCCTCAGGCTGCCGGATCTCGAAATGTAGGCATCTGGCGGAGGAGCCTGACTCGCTCGTCTGCTTCGAAGAAGACCCGAACCCGAGGGAGTCGGGTTCCTGCTCCGAGACCTCGCCGGAGAGAGTCCTCGGACGAGCTCCCCTTTCAGGGCGGAGAAAAATCCTTGCTTTCTCTCCATATCTTGAAGATTGGCCTAAACCAGTAAACCACCTTCTCGGAATTCACAACGAAGGGCTGGAAATGGTGGCCCTCACGCTCTCCTACTTCACCGGTGAAGCTCTTCGGAAAGGAGTGGACCAGTGAAAGAGCTCAGCTGCTGTCTGTTTTAAAGACCGAAAAGGGGAGTAAAGCTAGCAGAAGGGAAGGCAGGGTACAATGACTGCCGTTTTGGTGAAGCAAATGTATTTTGGCCTCTTAATTGAAGCGATTCACCTCGATCACATCAAATTAGATATAATTACATTAAATTAAATCAGATTTTCATAAATGTGAAATACACTAAATATTCACTTCACCTAAGAACATTTTAAATACTGTAAAAAAAAAAGAACATTTTAAACACTCATTTGTAGTCCAAAGTCTGACAAAGATATTGAGAATTCAAAATTTTAAAAATAGACATTTTGGATTCCAAAATTATTGCAATAAGACCTTCAAAATAAATTATTATATTAGGGAGCGAATTAAGGGACTAAGAGGGTGTTTGTAATTGCTTTTTTTGTGAAAGAAGTGATTGCAACTTCTTTTACTTTAAAAAAATCACTTTTAAATTGATTTTACAAAAAATGCTTAATAGTAACAGTTGATAGTGTTTAAGAAAAGTTGATTGTTGAAAAATAAAAATTAACGGTGTTTGGTAAAATATGTGTTTTTTGTGTAATAAAAAAAATAAAAAAAAAACAGATTCCAGCTGTTAGCTATTATTTTAAGTGTTCAATTTAAACAAAAATTGTCACTTGAAAACACTTTTTCAGCTTATTTAAACCAAAAATTGAAAATCATTTTTTATTTTAAATTTTTTACAAACATACCCTAAAATGGCAATGGGGTTGGAGGATGGACCTCCCGAAAGAAAGCAAAAAACGAACATCTTGGAAGGAAATGAAGTGCAAAAGAGACCCAAGTTAAAATAATTTTTTTAATGTTATAACTTTTTTATTTGTTCTTCAAATTATATATATACACCAAAATTTATAATTGTTTTATAATATTTCATATGACACCAATATTACATATACAAAATTTAAAAAATGAACTTCCAAACACTAGAGGTTTTTAGACAATTTTTTAAATTCATGGTACCTCCACAAATAATCGAACTTTTTTTTGTACCCTTTTTTATTTTTTTAACTAGAAAAAATAAAACTCATAATGAAAATTTTATCTTTTAACATCGAAATACTCATTTTTATTTCAAAATTATTCATAAAAAGTAAAAGGCCTTTTTAATAATAATTTAATTAATTTTGAACTAAATTGATACGTAAGAAATATGTTTGGTGAATTTTATTGACCGTGAAAGAATGCATGTAAAGTTGTATTGACAGGTCTATACATTATTTCAATATAGACGGAGTTCATATTTAATTTGTTGAGGGTGCAGAGATGCAATTTCTTCAAATCATGAGATAAATATGTGAATATGAGTACAACATTACAAAGACTTGCATTATTTTCTTTTCCAAAATATGACTCAGTAAATCCTATTTAGGAAAATTCTATTCTTTTAATGATACTGAATAAGTTCTATTTTCAAAATGAAATATATTTGATCACATTTTAGAACTTTGACTATATTTCACTCATATTTTGAGCAATTCCTACTACATCATAATACTCTCTTCCTCCCAGTTTAATTCAAGTTCTCATTTACTTTTTTGGAAGTCGCGATAAAAACAACACACTTCTATTTTAGCAAATAATTTGTATTCTTAATTAGCAAATTAATTGTCTGATATTAACAATAATATACTTATAACATCACAGTTAACATCAATGACATAATTATATTATATAACCATAAAAATAATTATAAAAATATACTCGAATTACCTTAATCAATTATAAACTTAAACCTGAAAAGAAGTAGTAATGTGTCAGAAATACACAATACTGTAAAATACTACTAAGTAAATATATGAAGCACGCCAATGTGACAGAATTTGAGAGAATTCAGACCATTTGTCACATTGACGTGTTCTATAGTGGCGTATATATTTCCTGAGTAAAATATAGGAAAAAGCTGCATGAATTCTAAATGATGTCTTAGAGAAAGAGCACAAGGGGAAATCATATTTGTTCGTACCTTAAGTTGGATTCGATATAATAATTTTTTATTGACTCGTTTAACAATTTATTTTGGATATGTTACACATGTTTTAGTCGGCTTCTTAAATTTTGGCTAATTCGACTGTTTTATCGCAAATACCTTGAACAAACAACCTACCGTAAATCATAGTGTTTCCTTTTGTTTTCTTTTATTGGATCTGATTTCAGCCATGACTTGTTATTTAAATTGGGTTCATTGTTTCAACTTTTATGTTCATCCTTATTTGTTACGACTTACGTAGTAAGTTAAACTGTTAAAAAGGTAAGAAATCTCATTCTCAGCTTTTGACTTTCATGGAACCAAAAATTGCCCATGATATTTTGGGTTCAAAATATTTAGGCCCACAATTATTGCCCAATAGAATAAAATCAAATTGGATTTTCGGTACTTTAGATTTTGCCCCATTACTGCCAAATGAGAACAATCTTCTTCATCTTGATGGGTCCTTTAAATTTGTTTTCTTAAAAATTCTTCCCTCCGTAACAAAAAAACTTCTCACTTTTCTTTTTCGTCTGTAACAAAAAATCTTCTCATTTCTAAATTTTCCCATCATACCCTCAATAATTCTGAAAATAATACGCTATTACAACTACGAGAAAAGGGCCAAATAGGCCCTTCTACTATTCTGAAACCGTCACTTAAACCCGCCTACTAAATTAAGTGTCATCCAACCCCCTGTACTATTAAAAAAACGTTCATATAAGTGCATTGACTGAAATCCAACCTATAACCGCCGGTATCTGCTGACGTGGAGGTATTTTTGCAAAATCTGAACATATTACCCAGCTCACGTGGATTTTTTCCTTATGCAGACCTTATTCCCAGCTAGGTTTATTCGACATACACAACTGTTTCCGCCGAAATCTGAGATGGTTGTGAAGAAGGGAATCGCGAGGCTGTATAACTGACCATCTAGGTAGGGGTTTTGACATAAGAGGCGGCTCATCATCACCATCGGATTTTCGACATACCTGAGGCCTGGGATTCAAGGAGATACGGCTCACGCTTTAGGGATTCAAGTGAGTTCCAATATTTTATCTTGTATACCTAGTTAGTTTAATTTATTGATTTCAAGTGACCATAAACTAAGAGTTTTGTTAAGTTAAAACATGTTGAGTTTATGAACTGAGATACCATAAACTGACTATTTGGCTAGTTGTTTTAGTTTATTATTCAGTTAGTTTGAAACAGAGAATTTATTTTCAATTTTGTGAAGAGCATGAGTAATTTATGCATAATTCTTTTAATTGTTAATTTGTGTACTTGAATGGGCACTTATTTAATATACAAACTGATTTCGTTAGAACTTGTAAATACCATCACCGTTTTTAGGGTCACAACGAATTGGGATGTTCAAACTGATAGACAAGTTCACACTTAATTGGCACTCCATAGTAGGGTAATTGTATTTGCTTTATGGATCTTCTGCATGGCTAGAGACATTAATCTATGGCCAACAGCCCTTAGTGTTTCTACCATGGTATAGGGTTTCCATGGTATAGGGATTATATGTTGTTTTCTATATTACACATGATTAATTTGTATCTGTAAATGAATTTTAGAAGAAAAAAACTGATTTAATTAGAGGTAATATTTCATGTTTTTTTTTTTCAGAATGTTTGAGACAATGGAAGTGCGGGCAGAACAACAGGTTGAAAAAGAGCCACCAAATGAGGTTCAAACACAAGCTGAAATGCTCAGTAATGCACCACATTGTCATCATATAGAGCCAGAATTAAATAGAGATATTCCAGAGCATGAAGAAGATGGTCAAGAGTCCTTAGAATCTGGGGATGACAAGACTTCTAACGAGGATGAGGATGAGCTAAATGATGACATCGGTGGAGATGTAAGGGATGCTCAGAGTGGGATTGAGGATGCCAAAGAATGCAGCGAGTATTATGACTCGGATGATCCCCCAAGTGGTGAGTCAGACTCTGAAGAAGGGCATGAAGAAGGTTCTGATGTTCACTCCAAAGGCAAAAAGAATGTGAAATGTTGTACTTATAATCCACAGTCTGAATAAAAAAGTCTAGAGGTAGACATGTTATTTGATGATGGTAGACAGTTTAAGAGTGCATTGATCAGCTACGCAGTGCATAAGAAAAGAGATATTAGGTGGAAAAAGAATGAGCCTCAAAGAGTTCTAGCAACTTGTGTAGGTAAATGTCCTTTTAAGTGCACTGCCTCATGGTCAAATCAGTACAAATGCTTCCAGTTCAAGACTTGGGTTGGTAAGCATAGATGCAATAAGAAATTCAAACTGAAGGTGGTAAGTCAGACCTGGCTGGAAGAAAAATATGAGAATAAAATCTTTGAAAATCCTTCCATTGGAAACGTTGAGCTACAGAAAGTAATACGTGATGAGTTAAAGCTAAATGTCAACATTTCCAAGGTAAAGAGAGTGATTAGAAATGTGTTAAAAAAAGTGAATGCATCATTTGGGGAGCAATTTAATAGACTGAGAGACTATGCACACGAGTGTATTAGGTCCAATTTTGGGAGCACTGTGATAGTAAAGACACAGAGGGTGACTGAAGACGGTCCAGAAGTATTTAAGAGGATGTATGTATGCTTTGGGGCACTGAAAAGAGGGTTTTTAGCAGGGTGTCGTAGGGTAATTGGGCTTGATGGATGTTTTTTAAAAGGCATGCTTAAAGGGGAGTTGTTGACTGCAATTGGTAGGGACGCAAATAATGAAATGTACCCTATAGCTTGGGCTGTGGTAGAGATAGAGAACACGGACTCTTGGAGATGGTTTCTCGATTTACTTAAGCATGACCTTGACATCAACAACACGCATCATTGGACTTTGATGAGTGATCAACAGAAAGTAGGTTGCTTTATGTTTTTATAATTTAGTAAATGTTATATATTAAGTGAGAATATAATTCTGTTTGTATTTTTCTCTAGGGTTTGGTGAATGTGATCAAGGAGTTATTTCCTAACTCTAAGCAGAGAAACTGTTGCAGACATATTCATGCTAATTGGAGTAAGAAGCACAGAGGCAAGGTGATGAAAAATCATTTCTGGATATGTGCAAGGTGCACCACAGAAGCAGATTTTCTTGAGCAAATGAATGCTCTTGGAAAGGTCAATGATGCAGCGAAAACTGATTTAGAAGTGTACGATCCCCGTCAATGGTGCAAGGCATTCTTCCGAACGGATGTGATGTGTGATATTCTCTACAATAATATGTCAGAATCGTTTAATAACACTATTGTGAAAGCACGTTCAAAACCTATAATTCCCATGCTAGAATCCATAAGAGTTTCCACCATGAAGAGGATTGCACGCAAGGTGCAGTTTGGAGCAAAATGGGTTGGTAACCATGGGCCTCGGATCATGAAGAAACTAAATGCTAATATCATCGCAAGTATGGGTTGGAAGGTGAGTCTGTAAGAATGGTATTTAATTTGAGTGATGGGTTTACTATGTTTCTTATGTTATAAGTGTGGACATTTTTGTTTTCTAGCTAGGTGGTTTTTATTGGTGATGATGGGTTTACAAGGTTAGACTACACGAGAGAATGTGCTCATGTAGAGCATGGGACTTGAGCGGCATCCCATGTCAACATGCTATATGCGCTATCTTTGACACGAGAGAATGTGCTCATGTAGGTTAGCCTACCAATTATATTGATCATTGCTACTCAAAGGAAGTGTACCAGACCATTTATTCACACCATCTTGAGCCAATGAATGGGGAGTTGCTTTGGCCAAGGACTCAAAATAATGATATTGCACCCCCGATTCCTAAAAAATTAACTGGGAGACCTAAGAAGAAAAGAACTCGTGAGGCAAATGAGGTGAGACCGTCTGTGAAGGCAAGGAGTACTGTGTCAAGGAAAGGGAGGATAATGACATGTTCAGTTTGCAAGAAAGAAGGTCATAATAAAGCAAAGTGTCCCAACAAACCCCATGATTCTCAAACAAGTTCCACCCGACCATCATCATCTCATCAACCTCCAAAAGCAAAAAAAAATGAGGCATACTGCCCATGGAGGAGTAAATGAAGGGCACAACTGAAGAGGGAATATGCCACAATGCTTAGAGGACACATTGAAAAGGGATGTAACCCCCTATGTATTTGAAGTTTTTGTTAAGCCAAACTATGTTTAATCTTAAGTGACTATTATGCCTTTTTGTTACTATGTTTTGGTGAAAATAGCCTAAGTGTAGGCAATATGGCATTAGCAAGTGTGTTGTAAGCACTTTTTTTGTCCACTGTTATGAAAAACATGGTTATTGATATAATTGTTATTCGTGTTGCTTTATTATTACACCATATAAGTTTGATAATGGCAATGAAGTGTCCAGTATATAGTCAAGTTTGATTGTTACTGCACACTTCATTCTAATGAGAATGGTTATTCATGTTTTTTTAATATTAGACCTTATCAGTTTATTTTTATTATTTATGGAACCTTCTTTTGATTTTCCAGTCAGTGTGATATTTCCCTTGCAGCTTCTTTTGATTACTAATGGCATCTTAGCTTCTTTTGATTATTAATGGCAGCTTCTTTTTATTTTTCCAATCAGTATGACATTTTCCGTAACAGCTTCTTTTGATTTTTCAGTCAGATGTTCCATAGTTCTTGCACAGTATTGTATGGTTTCATGTTCCATATAGAATAGTTAGTTAGTCAGTTGTCTCTTCTCTTCCATAATTTACATACTTTACATACAGAAGCTGGACTCTTAAAAAGCATCCCTAAGAAGAAAATAAAACCATATTCACTTGCCAACCATTTTTAATGCTCCAGGGTTGTGTTATGAAGACATATACTCTTCCCACTTTGTATTTGGACAGTAAAAAATGACCCCATTATGTACTAAATAGCTGCTGCAACATTCATGCCCAACTCATTCATATAAAGCTACTGCAATATATGTTAACTTGCTGCAAAAAAGACTCTTGGAATATGTTAACCTGGGGCAATATTAACTATCGAAAGTAACAAACCTGCAGCTGCTGCCACATTCATAATTAAGCATGCTATTACGTATTACCACATAAAGTCACAAAAGTCATACCAAATTTGTTAACCTACTAGATGAAGTTACAAACCATAGATTCAGGTACATCTTAAACTATCCGGAACAAGTCATTACATGATAAACAAATCACTTTTGAATACAACAAAAGTGATGCTACCTAAAAACAAAACCAAAACACTAAAAACTTTTTTCTTAGTTCCTCCCAGTAGTACAACACCAAACATACACATTGCAAGTACAAATGCTATTAGCATACACTTAATAATTTTCTTAATTTCCTCTACTCCAGCTTCACCAACATCTTTTAATTCAGGAACTTCAGCCCGCACATGTATGACTTCATCACTCAACTCTGAAATCCGTTTTGTCATCTGCTTCATGCACAGGGTTGGAATTTCGCCTTCTTCCATTTTATTATCTTCTTTCCATATGAAGAATCCACACCCTCCTCCTGGCAGCTATTTATAATAAAATAAATGTAAAGAAATTATTTTTATTTCCAGGATATAATTTAACTATCAATTCAATTTACAAAAACTAGCAATTCAAAAAATGAATAAGAATATAAATAATGTAAAATTACACATGAATGTAGAGATGAATTCTTAAAACTTGCAGGTACTAAGCAAACAAATTACATTTGAATGCAAGTCTACATACATACGTTTTTATAATAATAATAATAATTATTAACAGTACTTGTTAATTTCATCAAAATTAACATTTCAATAGAACACATGCATATGCTGTTACAGAAAACAATTAAGCCCCAAGTTAATACGCTTCCTTTACCTTCCATCTTTGGCAACCGAAGAACATGTGACCACTTCGTTTTGTGACGCACAGAGGAGCTTTCAAGTCACAGTAACAATATATTGGTGGTTCATAGTGGAGAGATGGAGCCGAAGAACAAATTGTTCACAGAGGAGATTTCAAACTATTGAAATAGTAGACGAAGAACAAATTGTTCTATGAGAACCCTAAAACTTTCTTTGATTTGCGCAGAGAAGAGTGGAGAGGATGAGCGATGATATGAATAACGTGGATACAAGGTCGGTACAAGGAAAAAAACTCCACCTGAGCCATTGCGTGGATAAAACGTCCCAGTTTGGCAAAAATATCTCCACGCCATCAGATACCGTCTACTATAGGTTGAATTTCGGTCAATATACTTATATGACCGTTTTTTAATAGTACGGGGGGTTGGATGACACTTAATTTAGTAGGCGGGTTTAAGTGACGGTTTCAGAATAGTAGGAGGGTCTATTTGGCCCTTTTCTCTACAACTACTTTTTTTTGGATTTATCCTACATTCCATCACATTATTCCACTATCTTCCCATCACACCCTCAATAATTCATATTCTCTTTCACTATTCTTAATCTATCTACTTTTCAAATGGGAAGATTTTAAGTTACGGAGGGAGTAGGTTACAAATACAAATAACAAACATCATGACTTTCAAGTTTTTTCTAACTCGAGGTGGCTAGGTTCATATTTAGAGCATCTCCAATGGTATAATGTGCATGGTGCACATGTGGCATGATTGATAGTCACATAAATATTAGCAAATAAATTATCTCTCTCCTAATTTGAATGATTTTATTCAATTTTAGTAAGTTTTTCTCTGCAATGTCAACATCTAGACGATCTCCTTCACATTGTGGAGAAAACCTTACCAATACTGTATAAAATCATTTAAATAAGGAGAGAAAGAGTTTATTTACTAATATTTATGTGGCTATCTATTATGCCACGTGTGCACCGTGCACATTGTACCATTCGAGATGCTCTTATTGGGATTGTAAGAAACACATGATAATGTTATTATTGGGGCTTATCCCTCTTTTTCAATCATCTACTTCGTTTATGCGGTCTCAAAAAATGAAAAATGTGACTGAATCAAAGAAAACCTGGGAAAAAAATTATTTGTGATTTGTAATTAATTGTAGGCATATTTTGTTCGGAGAAAGGGTTGAAATTTAATAAGAAAGTCTTTTTGTTCATATGTTAATTACTTCAATCCTTAAAACAATAAACCTCGCTTGAGCTAATTGTATTGGGTTTTATTTTGATCTTGAATTTTCAATATATGAAAATATTATAGATAATTTATCTCTCAACTTCACCAAGCCAATTTCATATGTTAATTACTTCAATCCTTAAAACAATAAACCTCGCTTGAGCTTGACATTGATTTTCTTATTAAGAATGACGATGGACAGAAAAACTCACAAATAAAGTAAACAAATAGAACGGTGATGTAAGATGAAATAATGAAATCAAACCGAATAAAATTGAAACCTATCAAAATGACCAAGTCATATCAGGTTCAATTTTTATAATACATTTCAAGGTTATATGCTATGAAAATCAATCGAGAAAAGACGGTTCAATGCCGACTTAAGTTGTTAATTTTATGTTTTGTATATTCATTTTTACAAAATGATCATAAAATCAAACCCATCATATTGAATTCCACAACCAAATGAAGGAATATCCTGTGAAAAACATTTTTTCCCTAATGTTTCATATGTCGTACTTTTTATACTTTTTGTTCCAATTTTTTGTTCTTTTTATAAAATTTATTTGGTGAGCTTTCCCTCTTACTGCAAAATATAAAATTGTGTCGAAAATCAATTTGTATTGCAAGTAATTAGATATTTAGGTTGCATGTCAATTTGGACACCATCTAACAAGTGACCTCTATCAATGTTGCACCAAGATAGTTAATTCACCAAACTACCAAAAATAAAGATTCTCTTTGTCCCACCCAACATTGCTATTTTTCTATTTATGTGATCATTGTCTTTTACTTTAATTTTTTTAGTATCAAATCCTATCACCAAGGTCAATTGTATAGTTAAGGTAGCAGAGGAGAAGAGAGAAAAATGGGTTGAACACAAATTATTTTACTTTGAAAAAAAAAATTGTAATGTTTTAGATAAATTTAACAAAAAAAGAAAATTTAACAAAGTCTATACATTATAGAACACTACATGTTAAAAGACTATATTTTCATCTAACATATGATCAATTATGAAATACGTACACACAAAATAAAAAGTTGAAAACCGCTAGTCACTATATAAAAATACTATCAAATAATCGAGTTTAAGTTATATAATTGGTGAATCTATAAATGCTCAGATTTCATGGCTTTATGCACCCACCAATTTATTTTTCTAGATCAGCCACAGGTTCCACTATGCAAGTCGCACACATCCATCATGGAACCTGTGACTTTGGGATCGTAAAGCCTCTTTGATAAAAAAAAAAAGGAAGCACGAAAGGTTAGAGTTCGGCATAAGTGAAAGTCATATATCCTTCCTCATTCGATTAGTTTCTACTTCCGCCACTTTTCATGATTTCATTGACCATGTACACAGAGATGACTAATGATTCTACTTATAAAAAGAAAAAAATGACATTTCACACCTTCTCAACATATGAGGACATACATCCCGGTCCAAAAAATGTATACTAAAAAAATGTTCATTGCTCCAATGGGTATAACAGGGGAGGTATTATGGAATGAAATCATTAGAGAGAAGTAGCCATAAGCAGAAAACAAACATCTTACCATACAATAAGATAAAGATACATCTCATATAAAGTTAAGTTATCCAAAGTTCGTAAAAAGTGAAGCACAAGATGAATGGAACGTTGAATTGCATTGTGAATTGCCAAATAGCCAGGGTTTGAATTTGCTCAACTTAGGCCTTTTAGGGATACCCATTCTTCAAAAGATCTAAAAGCTCCAAAGTTGATCAAGAATTTGATACAAGCATTACAAACCACATACATTGAGCAGACAACTGAGCCTTTAAAAAAGAACTCTTTAAGCTAGCAATATGTAATGGAGGAAATTATAAAAACGCAATAGGGAAACAACTTCAAGCTCAAATATGTTGGCAAGTATAAGCTGGAAAGATAAGGTTTATAACCTAATAATGTCCATGTTAGTCAACAAGTGTATAGACAACTGAGTCACACATGAATGAGCACATGATAACAAAAGCAACAATGACATGAAGTTTAGAGGAGATGACAAACTCTATAGATAAGTATTATCAAGATCTTCATCTCTGAATTGTTTAACTTGAACAAGCAATTATCT